CTTAAAGCTCATCCAGTTCCAACCCCCTGCCATGGGCAGGGACACCTTCCACTAGAGCAGGTTGCTCCAAGCCCCTGTGTCCAACCTGGCCTTGAACACTGCCAGGGATGGGGCAGCCACAGCTTCTCTGGGCACCCTGTGCCAGCGCCTCAGCACCCTCACAGGGAAGAACTTCTTCCTTACATCTAATCTAAATCTCCCCTCTGTCAGGTTAAGGCCATTCCCCCCTATTCTGTCCCTACAGGCCCTTGTCAAAAGTCCCTCTCCCGATTTCTTGTGGGTACTGGAAAGCTTCTCTAAGATTTCCCAGGAGCCTTCTCCAGGCTGATTCTCTTAGTTTGTCTCCGTACGAGAGGTTTGTTTTCAATAATCTTGGGTCTCATGCAGGTATGTTAACAAGCAGGTTAGCACTTCAGTTAAGAGGTGAGAAAGTACACCCCAAAGTATGTATTGAGCAGAGCACTCACCAGTGTGGGAAGAAGTAAAAGCCATTACCTGCTGCTTGTGGGTCTGTCAGGTTGGTTTAATCCTCAGGAAAGTTGCAGTGTAGACGCAGGCGTTGTGGCAGAGGAGGAAATCTGCCAGGGCCGCGGGTACCGGTGCAGTATGCTACTCCATGCAGGGCACAGCTGCCCCGGAGCCTGCTGTCGACAGCTGAAACACTGCAATGAACTCTTGTTCCCCAAAAGCGCTTAGTTTATCACCTACTTTTTGGGAGAGTCGAGTCTCTGGTGCCCTCTGTTGTTCTACTCGTATCAGCTTGATGCTTCACCATCATCCACCCAGACTCTGCTCCCCCACTCGCCTCACACAAACCCCAGCAATTAAAATTTAATCTTTTTAGTCCTGGGAAAACAAATTATTTCTGAAATAGAAGCTGTAATGGTCGCAAATTGCCCTTCTGGAAGCACAAGGTTCCTCAGGGAGCACAGCAGGCTGAGCAGCCTCCGGTGTGGTTGCAGAGTGTGTGCAGTGGGAGGGCTGACAGCCTTTCTGGAGGGACATGTCAGTGCTTGTGCACCCGTGATAGTGAGCCCAGGGTGAGAGATCCCAGCGTGCTTCTCTTCAGTGTCTTTACAAGAAAGGTGACAGACATTATGGGCTGGCTTATCCTCTGTGAAGCAGTCAGGTGTCTAACGCTGCTCATCAGCATCACTGCAAAGCCCGAGCTGGTAATGACAGTCACTGGTCAGAGATAGTGGTGAGGCTGTAAGGACACTGTGAGGACCTTTAGAAACTTGTTTAAGAGCATGCCCCAATGATTTTGATGGGTTTGCTGTCTGTTGGCTGCAGCAGTTGTAGTCCTATCTATGGGAGCCAGCTGATGGGACAGTTAAGACACCAGACATTTTCGTGTCTCCTGAGCTCACCGTTCCAAAGGTGACAACAGCAGATTGAGCAGCAGCCATTGACTCCTTGAAAGCAGATGCAGGTCACAGCAGAAACTGCATAGGTGGGCAGGGAAGACTCCTGTGTGCAGAAACCCAGACCCAGCTGTGTCCAGCTGTGGAGTTCGGCTGAGGATGATAATCTGACCCTGACCTGTGTCTGGGAGGGTGAACCTGGGGGCCAGCCTGGTGCCACAACATAAGCCCAGGGAATAGAAATGCATGGCTGGCAAAGGTCTAGACTGAGTTAAAAGGGCTTCCCCAGGCGTGGGAGCAGCAGCCCCTTGGGGATGGCTGTGCCAGGGCTCAGCAGTGCAGCAGGGGGAGCTCAGTCCTGATACCTCCCTGACTTTGTGCCTTTATGGCACTGGATAAGTCTTGCTTTCATCTTTCACATCTATCTGATGCATTGACTTGAAGATGAAGGGCAGTCACCAGAGCCTAGGGTGTTTCGTAGGGCCATCTACTTAGTAATACGCTGGTACTGCTTGAACCCTCCCTCCTGCCCTCCAAAGCAGTATGAAAGAAAGAAATTGGATTATTTCAATAACTGGATATTTTAATAATGCAGACAACCTGAAACACACAATGAAGTAAAATGGGATATATGCTATTGTATGTGTTAGCAATAGGGATCAATAGACTTTAGCTACAAAATGAACTAGAACAGGGAGAGAAGCGTGGGTCACCTGTCCTCCTGTAAGAATAACAGGTAGGTGCTGAAGTGTGGGATGGAGACATGCTAATGACTAGCGATTACATACACACTTTTACACAGCTCTGTGAAATTCATAGAAGCATAGGGTATAAATTGCAATTAACTTTGTAATGCTAAACCTAACAAAGATCTTGCACCATCCCTGGAGACATTCAAGGCCAGGCTTCTGGGCAACCTGATCTAGTTGAAGATTTCTCTGCTCATTGCAGGGGGATTGGACTAGACGAGTTTTGAAGATCCCTTCTGATCCAAACTATTCTATGAGTCGATGATCTCTCCAGAGGGCAAG